TGGTAGCGTGAGAAAAGGAGTCTCAAATAGCCTCACCTAGAATTTAGAAAAAAGAAACAAACCCAAATAATGTATATTAAGTACGCACACACACAGACGTATATATATATATATATATTTATAGCTTCCCTGTGGCTCAGCGGCAAAAGTCTGGGGGCTTATAACGCTAAACATCGTGTTTTTGGATACCCACACTGTTCAGAGCAGAGGTAGCACATTGTGTAATTTTGCATCTAACAACAAACTAACTAACCAACTTTGTTTTTCTGTATCTCTCTCTATAAATACGTATTGATATATTAGAAAGAGACTGAAATATAAAGTACAAAAATAATGGATATGTAAAACAGTACTGAAGTTAAACAAACAGAATACTGTTATTATAACTGTGCGCTTTCTCTTGGTAATCCCGAAAGTGGTGACCTTTGTTTTAAGCTAAAAAGTACTGTGCTACTGTCGTGATATGGCGCAGACTGTTTCCAGCACAGTTAGAGATAAATTTGACAAACAAACCACAAAAGACCATCTTTGTAAAGTTTCGAGACATCACTAAATAATTAGTTATATCGCCGAGTTTGTTTCATAGCTAAATACTCGTTTTGTTTTATGGAGCCAATTTTAATATGAAAATGCAAATATTTATATCAACAGTCATTATTACTGTTTGTCAACAAATTAGTAACACGGCAACAGAGTTCTTGTAATTATCATTATGTTGATAAATATTAAAGATGTTGTAGACTTATCATGGAAGACTTTATCTAAACAAACACAAACAACAGATGTACAGCCATGCGAAGTCTCGAGATATAATATTTCAAATTCGCTAAGAACACATTGCTTAATAATTTGCTGATTTGTTTAATATATTTCAAGTCTTTAATGACTTGTTACCTATTCATGAGTTAACTTCATTTCCAAATTAAATATATTTATAGCAAAAGTTGTTAACATTGTTTATATAAGAAGTAATGTAGTCCTAGTAGTGTTATTGTATTTGTCGTCAAAATTGTATTTATAATGTTATAAACGTGTATTTTATCCATCAGTTCTTCAGAGTTGGTAGAACTTTCAAATAGCTACGATGTATTGCTCTACAAGAGAGAGACTTATGACGTTCTCAACTTCCAAATTGCTGTACTTGTGTCTAGTGGGAGCTGTGAGTATAACATCTCTTTCGTTTTGTACTTACTTCATCAAAACTTTCCTGGACGACTATTTAACCTACCCCACTGTGTTGAAAGTGGATATGGACATGGGAGAACACTTAACATTCCCTGCTGTAACGATCTGTAATCACAACAGGTGGGTTTGTATTATATATGTTTTAGTTGTCTTTCTCTGTTAAAGAATAATCATTGAGAATTTTATTTGATTTTACATTTCTTCTTTGTTACGGGTTTGAAGCCCCCCCCCCATACCGCAGGCGGTATGTCTGCGGGCTTACAACGTTAGAATCCGAGTGTAGTAGTTTGAGTAATTAAAAATGTCTTACTAAGAAGAGCTACTGATAACTTTTGAGTTCGCATCTAAGGCGATTAAAAAATACAGCTAGAAAAAACGAGAGAATACCTTATGTGCAGGAGTAACATTGTTTATTAAGCAGCATTCTCTCTTCTTCTCTCCATGATTACGCAACTCACAATGCCCCTGGAGGCTTTTATCATCCATGTGTCCATTTCCTTTATCTTCACATTATGTTTTCCTACTTGTTATCATACAACAAATTGAACAAGCAGACCTCTTTATCGTCCTGATGTTTGTAAGTATCAAAATACTTAATTCTGCTCAAATTTATTTATAACTAGCTGGAGCACCCGTACCCTGGAGGAAAGTTATGTAAGTTCATGATTAATGAAAGCTTGTCTTAGGACATGAAAAGTTGCTTCCCTTATATTTAATTGTAAAAAATGCCCATAAAAACTGAAAAACACAAAATGTGAAACCGCAAATTTGCACGTAACTCGGCATGGTCCCAACAAACCATGTCAAATTTGGTGAAGATCAATAAATAGGGAGCGAAGTAGTGGTAAAAAACGCAAAATCCAAAACTGAAAATTTGTATGTGTCTCCCCATGAACCCAACAAACCTTCATGCTAAATTTGGTGAAGATCCATCAACAGGGGGCAAAGTAGTGGCGAAAACGCAAAAACGCTCATAAAAAAACACAAAACGCAAAATGCAAAACTGAAAGTTTGTATATACCCCCGCATGGATCTATTGAACCTCCATACCAATTTTGGTGAAAATCCATCCACACTCTGCAGAGTAGTTCGATGGACATACAACAGACAGTAGTATTATATCTATATAGATCTGCCAATAACTGTGTGACAACAATAACATTATATTACTGTTTATTCCTCTTCAGTTACCATCTCTAAAACATACAAACATATTCTCATCCATGATGGACTCCCAACTGTCAAGAAACATTCTAGGTTCAGAAAAGATCCTGCATAACTTTGGCAGATATCCTATTCATAACAATCTCGTAACCTATCGGGAGGGACAATCTCAAGCCCCCAAGACGAGGAACCAAAGTCAGAAAGAACCTACCCAAAGTCCCAAGACAACCAATTAGAGAACTGCCTGAGAGAAGATACAAAGTCGGATGGAATTATGCATTACATCTCTTTTGAATCTTGTATTCTGACAGTCAAGAAGCTGGCGATTCATCAGGGATTCTTCTCACACTACTCTAGTTTCTCCTACTGCTTATCTGAATCCTTAGCTTTTAAACACAAAGTTAAAAAAGTTCTACTAAAATACTGGCCTGAATGCACTAGGGACTAACAAATTATTCACGAGGTTTGAACTTATGACATCTTTAAACAGTATGATACTACATCCATCAAACTACGTTAAATTTACTTTGAGATGCTACATCATCTCTCCCTTGTTTCACTCCAACTCCTTGGGGCTTTTTCCCGAATTTGGTGGAAAATATATTTTCTAATTTATGAAATTATTATCCTTCTTTAAAAGACCAGGAAGGATCCCATGATTCCTTCCAGTTACCAACTCTCCACTTTGACTTACTCTTTGTCTTGGAGAGGGTGGGCAACACAAATTTTATTTGGTTTCTGAAATAAAACAAATCTGTCTATTTTTATCAATAATTGCTTTAATGATCAGGTACATCCAAATCAGTGTAGGAGAATGTTTCTATATTTGCATATTTGTGCATAAATTTTGATGAAGTGGATCTGGGTACTTTGTACGCTGTAGCTAGTAATGAATTTTGTATTATTTGTAATGTTTTGGTGCTGTGTTAATTCATGCCGGGCATGCATATTGAATTACTGGACGTATGTATATTTTGTAGATTTTCATTATGTTGTGTATGGCATAATTAATAAGAAACTAAATAATATTCACTTTAAGACTTGCTAAACGTATTCAATTATAGACCGTAATTTATCTATATATATTTAATAACTTACACTATACTTTAAATAGTTTTACTGAAGTTAGCAATGTATGTAAAATCTCGGACTTAATTGTTAACAAAACTTCAAAATACACTAAAATATTATTTACAAAAACTTTTTAGTTTATAAAATACTGACATACACCTCAATATAATAATACCTGCCGTACATTCATGTTCAAGTAGACTACCATAGATGAAACATAAGTGGCAATTAATCAACGTTTTCTTTATTTTAGAATCTATACAAAACATTTGAAAACTAAATCCGCCGTGCACTTTACTTACAGCTTACAAACTGACCTTCAGTATGTTAGGAATGACTTCTAAAGTGTCA